GCACAGACACACAACATTTGAACACTCGCACGTGTGACCTTCATAGACGTTTTATCTAAATACTCACATAGTATAACTCAATCACTGTTTGAGTGCTGACTGCATCTGCACACACAAACACACACACACACACACACACACACACTTTTACTACCTTTACTAGACAGCTAATGATGAGCTGCGCTGGGTCATAAGATATATTAAAAAACCTTTTCTCTCACTGTCTTTTTGCATCCCAGTTCTGAAACGCACAAAGGCAGCATAAATATGAAACAACAGAGCATTACTGACATCATGGACACAAACAGCATCGCTGCCAATAACGGGGCATGCTGAGCAGCTGCAGCTGACTTTACAAACTGCTCAGCTCTGACACTGAGGGGACCCTTCAATGTACCTGTGTGCACATAGCAGGGCTGACTCAAATGCTTCGAAGCTGTAATCACTGCCATGGTAATTGATGTCAAAATCTGTATCTGAATGCTTCAACTTTTGTTTTGTTTTTCACCACTAAAACTAGGAGGAAATGGAAAGTGTCAGACACGAATGAGGCCAGTGTTGTCAGTGCAGCCATCGATTTCCGCATCAAGCATTAAATTGGCAGTCCGATGAGGAAAAAGAACAGGTGAGATGATTCCACAGCTGCCAACTATAGTCAAGCACTTGCTTTGCATCTAGTGATGAGGCCCGACTTGCAGCGTTCGAGTTATTGCTTGCAATAGTCCACCCTCCACCTTCTTTGCAGCTCGGATGCAGGTGGTTGACTACCGTATACGAATATGACCGATAACTTTTACCCCCCGCCCCTGCAGGTCTCACTGCATACCCTTGAAGCACTGAATAGGTAATTATCACTGAAGCTTTTATTTAAAATCTGAAGTGTATTTGGGACAGCCCTAGAACATAGCCACTTCCACACACAACGATACTGGCACAGAGTGTGACACAGTGATATAGACAGACGGAAAGACATAAGATCAAGACAGAGAACACAAGACGAAGTTTCTAGGATGTAGCATTGTGGTGTCTTTTTAAATTCTTTAAGACTCCGAAAGCATCCCAGATTCACTGATAAATGTTTTTCCACCTCAGCTACAATGAATGCCCGCAGAGTCATCTTTGTGCAGTCCAGGATGTTAAGTAGTCATGTGTTAAAATGGATGTGGCTTTACATCAGACTTGTTTTTTTCTTTTATTATGAAAATAATTACTTCTGGTAAGGGTGTCCAGATATACAAGTATTGACAATAACTGTGATAATTAAAAATGAAATATTGGTATCATGTTAATAATGCTCATATGATAATATTGGTTAAATAATCTAGTGTCTCCTAAATAATTTCTGTTCTTGCTTTGTATCCCTCTCCAACTCCCTACACTTGTATTTTACATGAAATTAATTTACCAGAAAAATAGAGAGAAAACCCCCACGATAAACAAAGTTAAAATGACTTTGACTGATAGCATTATCATTATAATTATTTTCATGATGTCACATTTTCTATAGACATTGTGATAATATTGTCATTCTGAATTCTTTTGGCCACAAAAAAAGTGTAGTGAAATTATTATATATATTGTGCCAGCCTTATCCTCTGGACCACAGGACCACCTACAGCATGTTGTGCAAAAGTGACTAACTGCAATATTAAATTTCATATTCATCAGGAAACCCTGCTGAGAAGTGAAGTCAAGAAGCAAAGCTGCTCTGTCTGTGGGTGTATTTAAAGTAATAATGCCAAGAACACAATGTAATAAATAACACAACTGACAATAATTCTTAAATTGATGAGAATGCTGTAATTAAAATGATGCCAAATAATTTGCAGTTTGCCAAAGTCTGAATATCACAAAATAGCACAGGTTCATGTCATCATTATCTGAATATTTCTTAGAGCACTTTTCAGTCCACTGTGTACAGTAAGTGAAAATATAGCACTCCACCGCAAGTAAAATAGATTAAAAATGGATAACCTGTTATATTTTGTATGGCAAAGGGAAACACAAGCTTTCTTTGTGTAGCCATACAACCCTGCTCATGCAAAGAAACGCCCCATCCATTTAAAAGACTTTTAATAAAACAAAATGTGGCATTTTAGCAAGATGCAAAATGGTATACTATTAGAAATAACTCTATTAGAAAGTGTAACACGCACTAAAAATGGAGGTGAGACGATGCTGCAGTGTGATTACCTTCATGTGATGTTGTGGAGCAGTTCCTTGGCACAAGGAGATGAATAGATGACATTTAAACATAAATTCTAAGTTGTTTAAGGAGGGAATAGTGAAAGTAGAAATGTAGAGTGCACTTGACCTTACAGTGAAGAAGTTTATGCTTACCTAGTGGAGTTTAATATAGAAACAGGAGATGCATTCTGATGGAGAAAATGTTTAAATAATAGATGAACTCCTGGCTGCTTTCATCAGGAGGGATTTTGTCTGTGAGGTGGTGAGATTGCACACAGACACACTCATCTATTCACACAGTGCAGGGACGCCCTGTGTTCAGGATGCAACATATTCACACATAGATACATCAACACATACATCTTCCTTGTAAATTTGAACTGAATATTCACTTTTCCTTTTCAAACAGTTGCCTGTACCTAACACTGTGGCCACATAAAGCCAGAGTTCAGTGGCCAAGCCGGGGAAATGCCCACCTAAACCAATCTGGATCAAATCTTATACATCACATCTCTCATAGCATCAGCTGCAGCCGTGCGCACACACATGGCTCATGACCAGTAAGAGAGAAAAAGCCTGAGATTTGCATGACTGTTAATCTGGGAGACCCCGATAGGCTGAAAGTTATCTGTGCTGCTGTCTCAGTGGCTCAATAGATGGATGGATGGATGGAGGATGGAGGAGGAGGAGGAGGAGGGGGAGGAGGAGGAGGGAGCGGCTGGAGGAAGTGACATGGGCTGGGATGGAGTGAGTGGGAGGGGAGAGTTTAGGGATTTGCGTGGCCCGACAGCTGGACTGAAAAACAGGCTATTTCAGGACGGGATTTATACGTTTGGTTGCTACCTCAAATCCTGAGAGAGCGAAAGCTTAAAGCAATGGGTATTGCATGAGGTTCTATCAGTGTCTTTAATCTCTCATTTTTTACTGAAATATTGTCAGCACACCAATCTGTGTTGCAACATTTGTATTGACATGCAATTTATTTATACAACACTAACATGTTTCTAAACAAGAAACTGCAATGATGTATGTTAATTTTTTTCTTTGAAAAATGACACTGGCATAGACATAAACTAGACGAGGTCAGCTTCTTCATCTCAAAGAGCCACTGTTTGTATCATATAAAGGCTGTCGAGGTGATACAGATTTCCTTTTGTCACTACAGGGCTGCAGGAAATGTAAAAAAAATTGGCAAAAATAAGACATTTTCTACGGTCCTAAAATTGCTTGTTTTGTCCAACCAGTAGTCCACAACCCAAAGACAGTGGTGCACCATCATCAGAGGCACACAAGGCAAATGTTTAGGGCCCATCCAAAAAAAATGTAAGGGGCCCCAGGCATGGTACTTGCACCTTTTGCGATGACAAGGATAGGCTTGTCGCAGTAGTCAGTGTTACTAGGGTTTCACAGTATTCAGGCACATACCAATTACATGACCTTCCCACCACAATCATCTTTTTTCTTTTTTTGTGAACTCCTAGTCGGACGACAGAAGCTACGATTACCTATAAACTGAAAGCCGCAGCACGAGATAGCAGGAGTTAGATTTCACTTATCACGTGATGAGAGGAAGGAGAGTTGACTGACAAGATGATGGCAGAGGATTTGATCGTCAAGTGGAAAGCAGGGGGCCTTGATGGGCTTCTTTGCCCAACAAGAGTCTAGGATCGCCTCTGCCTAAAGATATTCAATCTGCTGTCTGGAGAGGGACAGAGAAGCTAGAAGCTGAATATATGTTCAAGACTTTTGCTAAAAAAAAAAAAACCCTCAAAAGATTAATCAATTTTAAAAACAGGTGCCAATTTAGTCGCTGTTGATCAACTCCTTGATTAACTGACTTATCGTTTCAGCTTCCTATGACTGAAGTGATTATAATTTTGGCTTTTTTGCCTCTTTTTTGATCACAGTATTGACTTTATTATATAAAATAAAGTTTTATGAGGTTACTTTCCTGGGTAAATTTGTGTAAATGTCATGGTTCATTGATCAAAGAAGTAACTTTTGTCAGAGGATGTCCTGAAATGTTTCAGAAGATATACTGGTAAACATTACTTCATGTGTAAAAAACAGTAACGAAAAGATAGATAGATAGATAGATAGATAGATAGATAGATAGATACTTGTGAGTTTGGTTCCATCTGATCAACGCTCTCATTGAGAAAACGCACGGAAACATTATGTAACCACACTTACACACTCGTTTCAACCACCAATACACTCAATCCACTTTGAGCTGGGACAAATCTGACAAGAGCAAACAAACAAACAAACAAACAAACAAACGAGGAAACACCAGAGACAACTACATCATCCTTGATTTTTACAGAAAAAGTGTGCGACAATGCATCAAGCCACAACGAGAAACCCCTCTCTTGTCAAACATGCACACTGTAGCGAGCTCACTGAACTTTCACTGCACACTTTTATCACGATAACATCCCATATTTGACTTCAGTTGTCCTATTCTCCCCTAAATAACAATACACTATCCATCAAAAGACAGCCAAACAGTTTCTCCATCCCTGACTGCATTTTTCACCCACTTCTTCCAACCCAATCACTGCGCGCTGCGCAAAGCTGGACTTTTGCCTCTATATGTTTGTGTCTTTCAAAACCCAATAGTCGTCACTTTTCCCAGTTAAAATCATTAAGGAACAAACTTTTTCTGCCCTTGAGAGTCACTGTTTGGAGGACAGAGGATGGAAACCCGCAGCATGATGAACTGCTGTGTCCCGCAGAACAAAATCAGCAAACGCGTGAAAAATGGGGAAAAGTCAGAGGTGGAGTCGGGAATATTTAAAATAGATGTGTACCTGTGAATTTTCCCCAGAGTTTTGCCCGCGACCGCCTTAAACCTGTCTGGTCGGATCTCCATCCTTGCAGCTTCTTGACCCGGCCGGTGTGCTGATGTCCCGCGCGCCCTCCTATCCTGCCTGAACGCGCACAGTCCTCTCTTTCTCTGTCTCCCTCCCCCTCTCTATCCCTCCCTCTCTCATCCCTCCCTACCCACACCAGCCTCCACTTCACTCTCAGATGGGCCACAGAAAGGTGTAGGCCTTTCTGCTCCACTGTGAGAAAAGGCATGCAGCTGGTCTCTATTGGACATGTGGACTATGGGAGTATGGATGAATATTCAAAGCTGAGATTAATAACCATCATCCTGAGAAGCAAGGGTGTTTTGTTACAACACTGACAGATAGACATATGAAACTGAGGGTTTGGGTCTCCTCTGTCAGAAAATTTGGAGGATCAAGTATTTCATTTCCTCTATATGGTGATTTTTATGCACCAGTTTGTGTCTTTCCAGCATCAACTTATGATGCAAATGTCTTTTTTTTCTTTATTTTCATTTGTTTTTTAACCTCTGATATCACTGTTATCAAGATTTGTACATAAAGAGTTCAGCCAACCCATAAAATCCAATAGACCGATACTGAATGGACTAGTCATAGCACATAAAAGGTTTCAACTATAATTAAGCAGATATAAATAAAACACAAAATGTTCTAAAGAACTGAACATACAGAGGCCTTTCTTGATTTGAAGGTCAAGTGTGTAGGATTTATACAGGGAGATATATTGGCAGGGATTGAATATAATAAGTATGTTTTCTTTCATGTATATTCAGCTGAAAATAACAAGTGTGTTTTTGTTACCTTAAAATGACCCATTTATATCTACCTAGGAAATGGGTCCACCGCAGAGTCCACCATGTTCCTTTAGTATCCCAGAACAGACAAACCAAACACTGGCTCTAGAAGGGCCAACTCACGTATTTGTGTCGGCTATTAGTAGTTAGCAGCCCCTCCTAGAGAGCAGCACTGAAAACACTGATTTTTGTAAAACTGCTTTATTCAGTGTTTTAGTAGTTTTAATCACCTGGTCCATTTGTTTTGGAGAGGAAGAGATCTCTGTGGATAATTTGGCTCCCAGTAAAAAAATCTGGATTCATTGGAAGTAAAGTAAGCACACATTAGCAGGTGTTGTGCCGAGTCGAACAGTGTTGGAGAAACACTAGCCCCTTTACACTACCTCTTCAAAGCAGGAATATGGTATTGTTATGCCTCCTCGCCGTGTTATAATGTACAATCACAGAATGGGGGGGCAGAGTGGTCTCCCCTTTAAGCTGCCACGGGAGGCAGTAACATGCCTAAACGGTGTCTGAACAGGGCAGGACAGGATGGGTGTGACGTTTTGACGAAGTGTTAAGGATGTGACCCACCCTGGGAGGTTTACAAAGTAGCTGTTGCAGTTAGTGGCTAACTACAAGAACAGCGGCATTAAATGTCCACAAACTGGGAAAACAATGAGGTCCAGGAGATTAACAAAGACGGTAAATGTTTGTTATTCTCATGTTAATGCAATTGTTGTTTATAAAATGTTGTCTACATGTATGTAATATGTCACACTAGAGGCCAACACTGTTGGGTTAAGGCTCAATTATACTCCCCTCATGTACAAAAATAGAAACGTAAACATCACCATCCTCATACTTCTGTGTGGCCTTTAAGATGGCATAGATACAGCCAATAGATGGCACCAGAGGGCAGAGTCAAAAGTTTCACCCAAAAACAAACAAGGTGATGTTGGAGGACGTCGTACTATTGTACCTTTAAATGAAGGCAGTGTTGTCAATGGTGTTGGTCTGTGCGGCCATTATATATATTCCAATATGTGAATGAAGAATTGTTTTCAGTATTTTTACTTTATATTATTATATATTTCATATTGTTATATATTGCCTGCACAATCTCTGGTGGTACTATTCCGTTTTGTCTGTATCTGTTAGTTTTCAGAAAACATGCATTAAGACAAATAAAATGAATGCAGAGTACGGACAGAAGGTTACGTCCATCTCTGTCTCCATCTCCATTTCTAATACTGAGCATAAATGAGCCCTTACATGTCATCTCCATCACATCTCTTTTGCTTCCAAAATTCCAGCATACTGTCTTAAATCACACACTGGAGCGGAATTATACCGCTGTTGTTTGGTTCTCTGTAAAAATACAAAGGTGGCATATAGAAGGGACTTTGTAGCGGCCCTATAGGGCGATCTCTGTGTAAAAAGGGCTACTGATTTGTAACTGAAAACTGCTTTATTCAGTGCTTTTAGTGGCTTTAATCACCTGGTTTGTTTGGTTTGGAGAGGAAGAGACCTCTGCAGATAATTCTGCAAAGCCTCCTGAACAATGAACACTGAAGGAATTCTCACCAATCCTCACCACTAGGTGCCACTAAACCCCCTAAATGTAACACACTGTTCCTTTAAAGCCCAGATGATGTGTTAAATGTTTGAAATATATCTTCACAACAACATAAGTCTTGAAATAATTTGAGATGTTGAGTTATTTGGCAGCCAAAATATGTTGGTTTATCATGTTCAATCTTACCAACGCCCCTGACTGTGAAAAGCAGGATGTGACAAATCTGCATTGCTCAGAGAAAAATGTTCTAAATTTCCTAAAGTTAAAATTGTAACTCATTTACTCTCTTAACTCAAATAAACAACAACAAGAAGAAAAATTCCTATGTCCATATTGAACATTGTCATCAATATTATCTTTGATCTTTTCACGGTGTTAACAGCTTCAGGTTTGGGTGGTGATGTGTTAATCAGAAAAAGGCAACATCCAGTCAGGTTGCTGCCATCTAGAGGTTTATTTAAGTCCTCGTCTAGTACAGTACAATACTGCTGCACTGAGCATTTTGTGAACACACATAAAAACATTGCTGTGGTCTTATGAGGTAAAATGATACACATAAAATGTAAAATAAAGTTATTTTACTGACATATTAAAATCTGTCATTTCACATCCAAACTGACTCATAACAGAACTGAACATAAATGTACAAATAACCACACACACTCACTCACACGCATACACATCACAGTTGAGCAAGGTAGAATGTTTTCATGCAAATCCATACTTGGCATCAAGCTAAAAATAGTCATAAAGCATACGTTGTCTGTTGCTGCCTTCCTTAATTCACAGGCCAACTCAGTTATGACTGCCACATGAAATAAGGATGGCAGAAACAATAGACAAACCTAGTGTGCCATGCCGGTGGCTTGTCAGTTTCCCATACTAAAACCTTACAAAAACTCTTGTTTCAAATATAGCAGCTTATTCCTTTATCATGTATCTGTGTTTTTATTTTCTAAACAGACAAATGAACAGAGGGAGGTATAAAGTAGAGTTGTAGTTTCATAACTAAAGAAGCTAAAAAGCATTTGATTTGACTGGTAATGTATCTTCAATAATATAAATAGTTAAAATAACTTTGGCTTTTCAACAAGTTACAGCTTGCTGAATATCATCGACGACTCTTCCTCAGATTAAGAATAATTCTGTTTACGACTGCCCTCCCGTCACTTAGCAGTCTCGTCTTGCAGGGTCTTGCTCGTACACTTTCTGAGGTTCAACATCTAAACATTTCATCCTTCCACAGCCGTGTTCACACTCCTGTATCTTGTTCGTCATCATCATCTTCCTCCTCCTGCTGCGGCAGGAGCCGGTAGTGTTCGTTGCCCAGCGGCAGGAAGGCAGGCCTGGGGTGAGCCTGCTCTTCTTCAGAAAGGATTCAGTGGTGGGAGCTGGAGTCCAGCAGCTCAGTGGAGCTGCACTTGGTGTACAACTCACGGTGCATCTCCTGGCCGCCTCCCTCCTCGGAGTGAGTGATGCGGCCCCTGCGGTTTTTCAGCGTGGAATGGATGTAGCCAATGGGCACAGGCAAGCTGGCAAAGACTATCAGCATGACAATCATGGCAAGAGCCCAGCCAGGGTACTCGAGAGTCATCTCAGAGCCCTAAAGAGAAGAAGAGACGGAGCATGTCAGAGAAACATGGGAGGTACAACACTGCTCAAGAGTTAACCATCTTTACAGAGATATATTGACAGTTCTCAACCAGCTTTGTGTGGATATGTGTAAATTGATTGTGGTAAACTTCCCTGCATCAGACCTCCCTGCTCATCTCCAAGTTCAAATTTTCACTGGCTATAGGGCTGTTGCTCGAACTATGGACTGTATCTCCACATTTGTCAAGTAAAGAGTCATGGCATCATATCACCTAATACCATGGAGTACACACGTGTGCAGTGAAATCTGGCCTGCACTTGCCAAAAGGCTCAATAGCAGGTGCACTATCATAGAACATGGTGGATAAATAATTCGTTTCACTGAGGCGTCTGCAGTCAGCCTTAGGTCGGAATATTTTTGTACAAAAATAAAGATATGGGTGAGAAATACAATTCTGTAATTATTGAAAAATCCGCCATAAAAGGCCACAAACAAATGCCTTCTACATGCAAACTATCTATTGCATACCAGCCACCATTCAACTGAGTGTACCCAAAAGTTCTGGCAAGCTGAGGGAACCTGAGGAGCCAAAAAGAATACCCAAAGAGCACCTGAGCGAACACCATCCTTATTTGTACCACCGTCTGCTGGTTGCTACATTTTGCATGTGTCGTACCATATGGGTCAAAGAGTGTGTCCCAGCCTTCACTGAATAGCTTTGACTTTCGTATGCCTGCCACCACAGACATGAGTATAGAGGCAGATTGAGACTGAGGGCCACCCCACTCTTTTTTTCCTCTCTGTAAAACTCAGACCAAACTCTAATCGAACTGTAAAACTAAGTGGTGCCAATCAATTATAAACCAAAATTCTGTTGGTGCATTGCCTATTTTTAGCCTAAAATGTCTTCAGAAACATATTTTAGTTCACCGTTTGGCTGCAATACAAGAATTTGTGAACAGGAAGTGGGCGCCATACTGTTTCCTGTATTGTAAAAATTAAATAAATATGATTATTTAGCCTCCATTTTGTATTTAGCCAAGACTGTGTCACTGCGTTGCCAGTTTCTCGCCTCTCAAGCTCGCCTTACGTCACCTATCAATGGGAGTGTTTATTGGTCTGGTGTGGCGCAGTGCATTCTGGTGGTTTTCTGCCTCTTGAGCAAAAGCAAATGTCACAGCTCTATTTCTCGGCTTTCTCTGGTCATATAGCAGCAATTTCAAAGGTATTTCCATCTTTCTACTGCATAGGCAGCCCAGTTTTATGAAAAGACCATCTTTCCAGCAGTGAAATAATAATTTAACACAGTAAAAATAACTTTCTTATTACAAAGTTAAGATTAAAATATTCTTGTCGGAAACAGGGTCTTTATAGGAGCTGATATCAACATTAATAAGAATATTAAAGAGAGATCAAGACACATTGACAGTATGAATAATAAATATTGGGATGATCATACCACAACATCAACAACTTGAAACAAATCAAAAGTTATTATTATCTACAGCTGGGAGAACAAATGTACAAGTCTCAGTGAATATGTCACATATATTGTAAACTGTAACAGAGGATTTTAAGTTTAAATTCTTATATGTAGGACAAAAAGAAGTCCAGTTTCTTACTGTGGTTTGATTCCAGGCAGTGTATGTGGGCCTTTTGAAGACCATGCGCAACAAACTGGCAGCCAGAAGACCAATCATCGCCAGCAAACACACATATTTCCAAAGATATTTGTACACCACTGGAGGGCGCCATTTGAGCATGACTTCGATGTCATCCAGGAAGCTGCAGTGATGGAAAATACTTACATGAGGACCATCTTTTTAAAATAAACAATGAAACAGGACAAAAATAATTTAATAGTAAAATATTTGTTTCTTACCGATCTGTTCCATAAACCCACGCCACACTGATGGTTTCAAAGATTACTACAATGACTAATGGTAGAGTTGCAGAGTAGTCGTCAAACATTGTCACAAAATAGTTGCCTGAGCGCTGAGTGAACAACAGTCCTATTATGAATCCCAAAACACAGCTGGACACTGGAAAACAAAGAAGAAGGCAGACAGGTTTAGAAAATAGCAGATATTTGAATGTTTTAATAATTTTCAATAAATGAATACAGATTGTTGTGTTTTGATGCAATAGATGTTCGAATGCTAAAAAAGGAAGAAAATGCTGAAACGCCTATAGTGCTGTGCAAAGGCAAAAGGCCTCAGCTTTATTTTGTTAAAAAATATTTTTTGTCATTTTTGGAACAATAAAGATCTGCTCTATCATGCGGAAGAGTATCCTGTGTTTATTTATTCATTAATTTTTCAAATAGTGGGTTCTGTGCCTAACCTATGAAAAGTTCTGGAGAAACTAAGGCAAAATAGATGAGCCTACCTGTGCATGCCACAGAGAATATCGATTTCTCCTGCTAACAAGCAGTGTATGTGAAATACAGATACAATGTAATTAGGAGGTTGAATGTTTTTTAATGACTAAAACACAGCCAGAAATCTTTGATCCATGTTGTTCATAATTTGAACTGCATTAACTTTGTCTGTAGGCTACAGCACAACAAATTAGGACATAAAAACAATAAACACAACTAAAACAGACAAGAAAAATAGACCATTTAACTGCATAGCTAACTTACTTATGGCAGAAGCACAAATAAGGAAATCTGCAAGTCTACAAAATCTGGTGGGCAAAACACTTCACGTCTGAAACACGCCCTATGTGGTATGATGCAGTGCGGAGGATGGAACAAAACTGGGTTGCAGCTGCACCTTTAAGAATTGTCCCTCTCGGCTCCCTTAGTCAAATGGTGGTGAAATTAAAAAAAAAACGGGACTAATTCATCCTATAACATGCCTTACTTTAGTTGATCATGACATATCAGATATGGGATTAATCTGCAAATGCTCTGGTTTAAAATAAGACCAAACTTTTCTATGGATGTCAATTTTTTAAGTCCCACATGTGCACACAAAACATAAGGCTGATTGGTCCAGTACTTTGCAAGATTAGCTATGGACAGACAAATACTCACCTAGCGCACACACACCAAACACATGGTCCCTGCCAGGCTTGCGCAGTGGAGATACTGATAATTGCCTAAAATATAGAGCATCATGTGAACTTGTGTTGACATGTGTGTGTTACCAGTGAGTATGGTCCGGTGGCGGCCCAAGACGCTAAAATTGTCCATGAGAGGTGTGAGGATTCCCTGCATGGTCCCAAACATGGTGCTGAGGCCGAGGTTGAGCAGCATCAGGAAGAAGAGGGTGGACCAGAAGGGGCTGGCAGGAAAAAGGGCCATCACCTCAGTGAATGCTATGAATGCCAGGCCTGTCCCTTCAACACCCTGCGCTCACACAAAAGGAAGACAGAAAAGGTAGAGAGAATGAACAAGAATTTTAGGAATATTGACTGAGGACTGCAAACAAGTGTTAGGTGGATGGTGGAGAAAACAAAATATGTGACTTGGGTTCAGTATTTCCAGCAGCATCCTATGCAAGTGAATTACCTATTCTTCTAAGTCAGTTTTTGGAGCCCTATTTGTAGTTGTAATTCAATAGCACCATACCAGAAGCACTGCTATAGTAGTCTCTTCAGTAGGGGGTGAGTAATCTTTTTTAGTGAAATAAACACTATTATATAAGATGACTTTAGTTCCCCTTCCTCTGTTTCTTTAGTTTTTCCTTTCACTCCTCCATCACAGCTTGCTTCCATCTCTTCAAGAGACCTACTGGATACTGTGTCCTATATGTTTTCTTCCTCTTGCCAGCTGGATATTTTACAGTACCTCACAGATTCCTCAGGAGTCCTGGGAACCTCAGCACCACTCCTTCTCACTATTGTTATTGAAATGTTCGCCTCTGTTTGAATCCCTGTTTCTTTTTTATTCCTCACATGCAACACATGGTGATCCTTTTTCTTTAAAAAATGTGTTTTGGAAAAGGTAGTGGCATGAAAACCATCAATGATACTTGATGGATGAGACAGCTTCCTGAAATTCAGTCTTTGTGGGGCATGTAATGATTTTTACCTTGATAACCTCTCAATAAAGACAGCTTAAGTGGAAATTTAACAGACTCCTTTTCACCAACTAGCAGATGTATCAGAATGGTAAGTGTATTTGGCAGCTTTACTTGTTTGTTGTTTATTGACTTGTTAGCTTATCGGCTTACTGGCAGTGGTTCACTCAGAAACATACAATAACATATGCTACAATAGGGGTATTCGGTATAGTTGAAGCTCCAGGGTCCGGTTTACATCCAGAAACTGCACACTGTACAATGTTTGCTGTCAAAACTTTCACTATGCTAATGCAAACTCTCTCTTGTACTGACAAGTCTGCTTTGTGCTGAAGCTTTGCTGGTGTTGTGTCAAAGCATGTTCCTCTGTCGATATATGTTTCCTGTATTAGACAGCGATTGGCTTTTGTAATCTAGCTATCCTGCCCATTGTACGTTTGAATCTCAGATTTTAGGCAAGTGCACAAACAATACCACGTTCAGTAGAGGAATGTGACAAACTTTGCACAGATGAAAGTCTGTCAAGGTCAGATGAAGGGGACATAAACAGAAGAAATGGAGGGGGATTTTAAAGTTAAATCTCAAGGGTACCTTATTCATTTCCTCCTCCAGATTGCAGTCTGTGATGTTAGGACCCACTATGGAGCTGTGGTGACTGTACCACTCCCTGTATTCAGCTATAGACACAGAACTTGGATCTGTCATGTTAATTCCAGGCCAACCAAGGCCAGCTGCCGGCTGGTTCGATGACATGAGGCTTAGAAGACCAAGATTTCTGGAAGAGGAAAGAGTAAAAAGATAAAATATAAGATCGTCAATATTTGGTGTAAAAAGCCATTGACTGTAATATTATGGTTATTGTGAATGTGTGTAGTAACAGGAATTATTGCACCACATTCTTGGGTCCTCTTATACTGTTGTATTCCATCACTCTTTAAGTCAATGCCTGAAAATTTTTGCCTTCAGTACTTTTTTCAACCAGCTTTTTCAGTTTCTAATTATTTTACTTACTTTTCCTCACAAATAGTCTTTTTTAGTATGTTACAATTATGTAAAGTCATGGGCTTGTGGGAAAAGTAGTTATTTCGCAGAATTACAAATTAAGTAGTTAAAAATTGACAGAGGGAAGTCAGTATTTGTGCACACACACATGCACAAATCCGTACTCAGCTACGCAATTTAGTGCAATGGTCTTGGCACGGAAACCCAGCACGACGAAAACCACCAGTGAGGCCAGCACAGACGTCATGAAGTTGATGCCGGAGACCATCAGTGCATCCCTGTGGCAGTTGTTGTGGACTGGGTTATAAGAGGAATATGCGATAACAGAGCCATAGCCCAGTCCAAGGGCAAAAAACACCTGTGTAGCAGCCTGTCGCCACACCTGCACATTACCCCAGATTTCCAGCTGAAAAATACCACAGAATAAAGTCTAAATTATCATAAAGGCTACAAAATGTGGAAAATGTCCTCTTTAGTTTTAAATACTCTCCAAACATTTTGTATTTGGCAATCATTGGATGATGAAACCTGTGCTTACTTTAGGATAAAACATATAGGTGATTCCTTCCTTTGCACCATCCAGCATCAACCCTCTGATGAGGAAAATAAAGAGCACCACATAGGGAAAGACTGAGGAAAAGTACATCACCTAAGATTTAAACAAAAAACAAAGGAAGGTTATTAATGTGCCAGAAAGTTTTAGAAAAATAGGTTTCCATTTCGGAAAATGGCTTATTTGCTTTCTGGCTGAGAACTGGGTGAAAAGACTGATAGTACTCTCATGTTTGTTTGCCACACATGATATAATGCAAGGGGTGTCCAAACTTCATTGAATGGGGGCCAGATTAGATCACCTGAAAATACCTGGGGGTCAGCTGCTTCTTGCATCAAATAGGTTACAAAAACATTTAAAAAAATAAAAATAAAACAAAAAATCACACAAGACAAAAGAAACAGTTTCGTCTTTCACTGAAAATGTATTCACCTCTCCACTGCCCTCACTGTCGACCTTACGCTTCATTGCTGTGGCCATGTCTGCTACCTTGCAGGATACATCTGCTGTTAGGTAACTGTCCCTTAACTTGTTTACCATCTGTTTATGAAAATACATTAGTTCTGCCTGCATAGTTCCTCCTTGGTGCATGCCTACAAACTAGATCGCTATTGAATCGGTACTCAGTATCATCTGATATGCAAGTTCAGGAATAGGAATCAGTTGCCGTTTGAGCCAGGCTAACAGTTTCCCCTTGTTCTTTGTGCTAAACTATGCTAACTGGCTGCTGGCTGTTGTTTGTATTTAATAGGCAGGTGAGAGTGGTATTGATCTTCTTATCAAACTCTTTGCCAGAAAAAAAACAAAAACAAATTACTGTATTCCTTTAACAATGATACGAACATAAATTTGTTTATGTGTATAGGCTGGGGTGACAAAGAAAAGAGAGGTTAACTAACCTTTGCAGAAGACTTGATGCCCTTGATCATTGCCAAGGATACAATTGCCCAAGCAGCCAATAAACAGCCTGTCATGATGGGGTTAAACTCTCCGGATTCTTCAATAGAATTTGTGATGTTAAGGGCTTTCCGAAACCAGAAATATGGTGTTGGGGAAGAGCTTGCACACTCTTTCACTGTTGATTAGGACAGACCACATTATAGACTTTTGACTGGCATCTACTGTGTGTGACATCTTATTTTGATCAACTTCTTAGTTACGTCAGTACCTGTCTCATTGGTGATTACATCAATTGGACACTGCTCCCACGGCAGAGGATACTGAAAAGAGTTACCCATGTAGAACAGGCTCCATGCAATGATAACATTGTAGTAAAGAGCCACGTAAAAACAGACCTAGAGGAGAAGGGAGGGTTCGTGAATGATTTACTCAATAAATTATCAATATTTACATAGCAAGTCCTTTACGATATACAGCATGCGCTGACGTGTATGGTGTGAAGTCTATGAAAGGTTCTTTCAAGGTTAACAATTTGTTTTGCAAGTGGAGAACAGCAAACATCAAATGACCTAATAGCTTTTTTTCTATTTTAATGCATGCGTAACCCAACAGAGTGGGTGTAGCTGAAATGAACTGTGACACTGACTGGGACTAACAGAGCAATGAGGTGTTTTGGAAAAAAACAAAACAAAAACATGGGTGTCTGGGCATACAAGTATATGGCTGTGTGCTGTATGTCCACAGAAAGTTCTTGCCCACTCTGTTTGCTGTTTCTTGTCTGTACAGAAAAGTGTTGCGCAACAAACTGCCAACACTCCAGTGCACCGCCTCTCTCACATTACAGCATGGCAAGATGTCATCAGTGTCCTTTCTTAAGTACACACACAGTGCGGCTAGTAATAAAAAGAAAGTTCTTTACGCAGAGGTGATAAATAAGGTGGTAATGCTATGGCTTTTTAATGAGTAAGTGGAGGAGGACATTCATGCTTATGAATCCTTTCATTCTGGTGCTTATATAAAAAACACTGATGATGGAGGGATCTTTGAAACCCAAACATGAAACAGTCAAACAGCTGCTGAACCACAGCAGCCTAGCTGAGACACTATGAGTTACAATTTTGCAGAAGTGTGTGTAAACATACGTACAATTCAATACATGATGGATGTTATTGCTTCCCCATTTTGGATTTTATTTGCCCTAGCTGACAAAGAATCCAACTTTTTATTCATACATGAACAGTATGATCCCAAACCCCCAAGAAAAAGTACATAAATTAAGACAAAATCAATCCTCACCATGCAGCTGGAGTAACCGATCCCTGCCAGCTTTGGAGAGATGTGCTTCCACACACCGATGCTGCCCTGTCGAATGCTCTGGCCAGCTGCCAGCTCCATAAAAAACAGTGGAACTCCCACAATCAGTAAAAGAAAAACATACAGCAGCATAAAAGCCCCTGGAAGGAAGATTTAAAAACATGAGGGCATTTATATCTAAACAGATTTTCTCTATTAAGTGTGATGGTGCCTTATGTCTGTTGTCTTTTCCAGCATCAAAATGCTCATATAAAAAAGTAAGCTTGTAAGCTTCTTATTTCAAGAGAGCCATCACAAAGACGAGTCAATCAAAATATTGAGATGAAACGTGCATTTTTTTCTGTATTGGCCAGACACACCAAACCGACATAAAAAAACAAGTGGCAACAAAGTCCAACTGTTGCATTGCATCACATTGCCTTGTGTTTCAGCCAAAAAGTTGCACTTAAACACACCGCAAAGACTACGGCCAACTAGCACGTACATTCTGCACCTGTGTGAGAGGAAATAACTTTCAGTACCAGCAGCCAGTGGTAGTTTGCATTTGTCTTTCAAAAAGAGAAACCAGGAGACCAACAGGACGGATTAAAGATGCCAGTTAGCACTTGAACAGTAAACCGGATGTTGATGCGACAGCGAACAATAACACAAACAATTACAGTATGAACCTTTTCTGCTAAAGAGATCAATGGCTAAAAAAATAATCTTACCTAATACAACTGGTTTGTTTTAATCTCACGTCCTCTTGACTTAAGTCATTTGTTTGATTTCCTCACTTTTGTTTCTCTTTTCGTGTGCTGAACTGAACAGAGTGACTTCACTCATGGACGAGCTCCACTGGGTCCGACGCTGATTCAATATGCTCAACGGGCCACAAAAAAAAAAAAAAAAAAAAACAGTCAACAAGGGCCAACAAGGGCCAACCAGTGCCAACGGTGCGGGACACACACACAACTACAACAACCGATGCCCACCAATGGCTCGACATGGACCAACAGTTGACTGTCGGCTTGGTGTGTCAGGGCCCTAAGACTCACCTCCTCCATTTTGGTGGCAAAGGTATGGGAACCTCCACACATTCCCTAGGCCCACACTGAACCCCACCTGGGCCAACACATACTGGATCTTAGAGTCCCATGCAGGCCGGTCTACATCGCATGCCTCAACTCCATCTGGGCCGAGAGCAGCAGCAAGCTGAGTTTCAGACTGGCCCTCGCCCAGCCAGGCTACATCCTCCTCGTTGCTGTCCAGTGGAGGTTTCTCTGTCTTGTCATAAAAAAGAGAAGAAGAATCATAAAATACACTGACAAAAAGTTTCTTATTGACAGATAAAGGTAAAAAAAATATATTTTATGCCAAGTAAAGAGGAAAGAAGACGTGTAAAGACAAAATCCACCCAAACCTGCAAACAATAATAATGTAAAAATACAAGTTCTGCACCACATGCAACACTAAATGTGATTGAGTACCTTTAATATGTCTGCAGATACCCACCAAGGCCAACATATCATTTATCAGGAACCACAACAGTCTATAACAATATGCAATGTGTACAGTGTCTGACTAAAGACCACTAAGGGCCAAGAAGAGGGACCAAGAACATGTGTGGCCTCCACCCTTCATCCGCCATGTGAAAACACAGTTGTAAGACATATGTGCAGAAACTCATGCAGCACTCCAATTTCATAAATAAACAAGGAGGATATGCTCAATGTGGGAAAAGGTTTAAGACTCTGAGATCTCATGTATACACTGTGCAGTTTCTGAATATAACTCATGTATTTGTTTTAAAGTTAAGATCCTTAAGATTTTCATGAAATCAGACCCCATTTTTGAGACTATTTATGGCTGCCATTTTCTAAGTGATAGCCATTTAGTGTATTTACATTTCATAATCATCTCTATATGGTTAGTGTCAGAGTCTGCCATTCTCTCTGGATTCAAATTGCCTGGAATAGCAATGTATTCACAGGAAATTATGCATCTCGTATGGCATTACTGTTTGTAAGTTTGTCTTTACCCTCATGGTTTACTGCCTGCTTTCCCACAGCCGTATCAGAGCTGTGTTAAAGCATTGGCACTGCTTTACTTTAAAGCATTCAGCTGGTGAAACCTGGGGTGGCTTTTATTGTGGAAAAGTCACAATAAACAATGTTTATGATCATCGTTCATCAAAAGGGCATGAACAAAAAAAAAGAAGAAGAGAAAAAGTCACTGGAACATATAGGGATGCTTGATTCAGTCTTTTAACACCATTGCTCACTGACTTTGGAAACATGCATTTATTGAACTTTTTTTTAAAATTGTCTTTTTAACAGTGGATATTCTTGAGCTTTAATATGATTTGATTAAAAAACTGGCTCAAGTCTAACTAAACATGCCACAGCCTTGCTGAGGGCAAGTTTGTGCTTTTGGGAGGGGGTAGAAGTGCACCACTGTAAAGGAAAGAGGTGTGCTGGATTTATAATGCAAGACAAAACCAGAGCACCATTGCGAAACTAAATGGGGCACAGTAATTGTTTTAATCTTAATCATCTTGTCATCGTAATTGTTGGAAGCCCAGATCATAGCTGAAAATAAAGTTTGATTAATTGCCTAGCCCTAAAATAGAACATAATATGTTGTGAGTTGTCAGTTAGGGGATCCTTAGGCAGCATTTCCAAGGAGCACATTGTGTATTATCTATTGTTGGTTATTATGTAAAAATTATCCAAATTAAAAGGTGATTAAATCATCTGCACATTCTGCCATTTAACTTACAAAAAAAAAAATCACAGAAAAGCCCAATGTCAGGTGTCACTGTTCAAAAAGAATAATGACACTCTATGCACACGAACATGAGATCATCCGACTACGCTTGAACTTCACACTCTGACCAAGTGACTCAGCTCAGATGAGCAGGCAAGATCCAAAATGGCTTAGCATGTGCCAAATTGGCTTAAGGACATGTCCTAGCCGTACCACTGCTGGTATCAGCTGGTGAGAATGGAAAATTATAGGAGGTGTATGACCCAGAAAAGTATGTGGCTGGTACATGCAGGACACATGGCCAGATACGTCAGGCGATTTCAGAAATATGCATACATACATACACAGAAGAGTGTGGGACAAAAATATGCTTGTGCACACAAATATAGGGGAGGGGAAATGGGGAGAGCAGTTAGCCACTAGGCAGACCTCTGGGTGAAGGAGGGATAGTCTTTGGTGTCTTGTGGGTGGGAGAATCCAGTGGGAGGTGTTCGGTTTACATTGGTTCACACTGTGGGTGGTGCTGAGGTGCATTGGTGTATCACGTGGTGGATATAGTTGGCAACAAGGCAGAAGAAAAGCTATTAGAATTTATGTCAACATTTTGGGGACCCTTATCATGGACCTAAAATCTTTTGTTGTAGTAGTGGCGACACGTGTGTCAAACACCATCCAATGTTACCTCTAGAGCTGAACTGATTAGTCGGTTGATAGGTGAGTCAGTAATTGGAAAAAATGTACAATTTTGATAATCATGTTACTTGTTATTCATTCAGCACAAAAGTAAACCAAACATTCACCGGTTCCAGCTTCTTTGAGTTTTGGACTGACAGTCAGACTTTACAGATTTAACTATTGTACATTAATCGATAAAAATAATTGTTAGTTGCAGTCCTAGTTACCTAAAGATTCAACTAACCTTGGATGGTGACTGATGAAGGTTATCTGTCCCTGACTCTATCTTAGTATATTGTGAACTGATAAAGTTTGGCTATCAGATGTGTGAGTCACCTTGGTAGTGTAGCTCTTTCATTTAAAGGAAAAACAAAATGCCCTTCAAAACGACTGAAAACAAAAGAACCAACGTGATCACAAAATGTTAAGTTTGTCATTGAAACAGATCTGTGTATAAGTGCAGATACAGTTCAACTCTTTTTACAAGCTTGGATATTCCACTGTATCCTTAATTGCTCCTCAACAACCCTGTATCAGGTTGTTTTGTAGTTTGTTAAACCAATTTATACACACAATACACAGTTTTCAAAGTGATAGGCTCAAGTAGCCTACTTTATGTTTATTTCCACTGCTTTTATGAAACTCTAAAGAGGACTCTATGTCTTTAACACATCTTCAAAAGAAGTGGACAAACACTGCATGCTTATTTTTCAGCTCTGGGCCTCGCTACAGTCATGAGCAAAAGAACTACTGTATTTTTCTCTTTTTCTATACTTGGCTAATCTTAAATTATCTTCTTGTCCCACAGCCCCCTTCCCCCAGCACACTCACACAGAAAGAGGCACAACTAACACACACAGAGTGGTCGTAAATTTTTGCCTGTTGGTCAGCCAGGGTCTATCTCTGGGTACTTGTGGAAATCAGGCAACCACACGTCTGTCCTCAGTGAACGATGATAGTAAATACACTTTGTGCAAATAGTTAGATTGGATCATATGTCCAATAGTGCAGGATATTACTGACTGTTTGCTGTAAAGTTTTTATTAAACAAGGTCAAGGTATTTACATGATAACTGGCATCTACTAAAACAGGATAAACATTTTAATATGTCATATGTCTTTATAATGTTTTGATCATTGTGTTGTATTATTTAAACTAAAATTATTACATGATGTTAGACTTTTCAGTAACACTTACAATGCTTAGTCAAAAATACTCTGTAAAAACGCTGTAGTCAAATGACATTCAGAGCATATCTGTGATTCAGACTCTGATTCAGGTTGTCTGCACATGGTTCTCAACATGGTGGTGGCTAAACTGGCGGCTAGCAGTTAATGGTGCTAAAAGTGAGAACAGGCTTAACAACAGTAACAGTGCTGAGAGAATAACCAGCCCATTCTTATTCCAAAGTTGTGAAATACCGCTGCATTGTCAATGACAAAACCTCCTTTTGTGGTGGTATGATAGGCCGCCAAGTGGCATCAGTTTGTAATGCGGGTTATGATATGCCACTGGGTGGCTGGGTGGCAACAGTTAATAATGTGGCCATACAGCAACTGTTGCTGCAGTGTGATACACTGCTGGTTGGCTTCAGTTTGAAATGCTGCCGGTAACAGTGTAATATTACCTTTTACTTTAATCAGATTTTATGATTTCATGCAACAAATAAATTGATTGATTGATTGAATATAAGAAGCTGAAAGTCCCTATAGCGTGGGTGGGAGGGGTTGTGGATGGGTCCAACAAACCACAGACTTTCACCCGGGAGCCTGGTGTTCGCTTCCTTCCTGTATGAACGTAGAGCCAAACCATAATGTTTCTTTCTAATCCTAACCACATGCTTTTGTTGCCTAAACCTAACAACCAACACAGGAGGATACCTAGCACATAATATGTAGACATGAGCAGCACTGAACAGGCAGTAATCAGTGGAGAGTTTGGATGAGAATGAGTGGTAACTGTGGCAGGAGAGGGTGGGGTGCTACACTTCCGCAATGAAGCTGTGGGTCACGTTATCAGCAGTAACTGCCGTATGAGTGCATTGCAGAGTGGTGATGATTAGCTAGCCAGTGGGGATACTCCATCACAACCACAAACAGAGAAGCTCAGATTACAACACACACAATGGTAGCATGACTCAGGATGCCATTACTTCACCATATCTTTATAGTTTGCTGAGCATCACTGCTCTAAATGTGGCACAACTCTTTTAAATTCCTCCCAACAAGCATCTTTGTTGCTCAACAATTATCATACTGTATTCCATAATATTAGAATATTAAGGATAACAGAGGAATAAATTATTTTTAAGTCTCGGATTGTTACCCACCTTATGTCATGTTGGGGTAAATCCCTGTATTTACACTAAACACAGTAACTGTGTGCAGCTGTTGCTGTATTTTGAGAGCACATTCATTTCATCAGATAACTGACAAACTACAGTCAGAAATACACATTATTTTTTCTTAAGTCACTGTTCAATTTACACAGAGTGAACAAGAAAAGAGAAGGAAGCACATGCATGATGCATTGCAACAGCCTGCAATAAATAACGACCAACATAACATCTTCAGGTTTGTTGAAACGGCTGCTTGGTTTATTGTACACTGGACTGTGTTACAACAAAATATCCTGTACTGTACAGGACAAATATAATGCCATTTTATAAGACACAAAAAGCAACCTAAAAAAACACCTCTCTGACACAGTGTCAACAACAACCAAAAATTCATAGTTTCACAAAGTATTCATTGCATGACAGATTACATTACTGTGTACAGCGGTTTCTATTTCCCTGTTAGCTCAGTGGAGTTAAACTAGGGCTTAGAATAACAATTATTTTCATTGTTGATTATTTTCACGATTAATCGGTTTGTTGTTTGCTCCAATAAATGTCAGGAAATGGTAAAAAATGTTGATCAGTGTTTCCCAAAGGCCAAGAGGATGTCCTTAAATGTTTTCTTCTGTCAACAACTAAAAGATATTCAATTTACTGTCACTGAGAAGTAAAGAAAATAGAAAATATTCACATTTAAGAGGCTGAAATCAGAGAATTTTGGACTTTTTTCCTTTAAAAAAAATGACAAACTGATTATCAAGTTATTTTGCAATCAACTGGTTTACAACTAACTGATTAATTGTTGCAGCTCCAAGTCAAACCCAGCCTTTACCTAGCTGGACAATTACTGTTACCTTAATTGTGTAGGAAGAGTGAAAGATGTTACTTAACATGTTTCATGATTTAAAAACAGAGGAGGGCAGTTCTGCCTGCAAAGCCATAAAGTGGCAATAAACTATTATCAAACATATTCAGTGTGTGGAACACTTTGTTTTGTGCATTTAAAGAAGCCTTAAACAGCCTGACACATATGTCTCAGTGTGCAGACAACCCAACCCTCCACAAACAGCCACAATAAAGACCTTTTCACACAAGCAATTTTAAATGTCGACATCATGTCTGAAAAGGAGCCAGAGTCTTTTTTTCCTGGAAGTCTCTTTGGCAGTGTGCCTACACAGGACCTATTCATGTTCCTGTAATCATCCATCTTGGCTCAAGAGTAGATTGACAATCTCACTCAACAGGCCATCAGGTTACTGGCCGTATTCAACTTTTAACCACGCCAGTTGTTACAGGATGAAGATCAGATAGCAGAACAGGAAACAAGATGTTCTGTCAACATTTTTAAGTTGTCAGTACTTAAAAGGTATGGCTTACAAGATCTACTGCAGTGCTGCCGACATTGGCCTTGTGCAAAACATCACACAAATGACTGTGTACAAACATATGTGCAACCGCAAAATAATCTTTTAAAGAGTCAGAATACTAACAAGGCATTCTGCTATCAAATAAATCAGTTGTGGACTGCACCAAGACGCTGTACAAAGGAAGCTAGAGTATACTATCAGATATAGTCCAACAGCACTGAGACGTTCATTGCAACAAATTAGTCACCTTCTCTACCTGCCTCACCCTGTTCCAAGGCTGAATTCTATCCAAGTATACGTTTATTTAAAGAAAACGTGCAAACACCATGCACACAGGTATACACTAGCAAATACACATGTGATAGGCTCCCCACACTCCCCATAGTATTGCATAATCTGAGTGGCTGCCAGTCATGAAACCACTCACCACTCACTAACCCCACCTTTAGTGTAGCTTGCTGCCTATAGGATAGCTTGATAAATACCTCTTACAGTATGGTTTACTATTCAGTGGCAAAACAAGAATGCATGTGAAAAGGGGGCATTAAATATAATTCTGCTTGCACACTGGCTACAGTGCAGTCTGTCAGTTTGTGTACACTTGCACATTGCTGTCTTGTCACATTTGACTTAAAATGGAACTATGATTTTGAGGTTAAAGTGCTGCCTTTCAGCTTTAATTTGAGGCTGTTTATTGTTGTCAGCGTTATTGTCAGTGCACCAACTGCAAAAATCTACAGACTTAAAAGAAAAATAACATTTTATATTTGTTTTTGCAACTGTACAATATCTAGTAAAAAGTTTCTTATTCATATATATATTTTTAAATGTGTGTTACAGTAGCCTTAGTGTACAGGTTGACAGTTGTTCGTTTTGAAACTTATCTGTGGCTGACCACATTGAGCAGCTACTGTGTACAATTGCACAGAAAATCAGCTGCATAGGAGAGATTATCCAAAGTGAGGCAAACCACAGCCTTAAAGCCCATGCATGACCGCTTAAGAAACAAAGGAATCTAGTAACGGTAAATTATACAACCAATAGGTACAGAACGTCCGACAAGAAAAAAAGGAAAAGGAAGAATAGAGGTGAACAATAAACGCAGATTACTTTGAAGCATTAGAGCTCATAAAGACACGTTAGAGCAGAATTTCTATGTGGTGTGGACATACCATGCTGACAGCACGGTCCAAGACTGGAGTAGAGTTTCCAGAGGTCCTGGTGTGAGTTTCTCTTCTCGTCACTTTGTCTGTTTCTCACTAGGCTACTTTTAAACTTTTCTCTTATTTGCTTTCGCCAAAAGTCGGGCTGCTAAGTACAATCTACTCAGGGGGAAAAGTCTCCACCGGGTAGTTTTGACAACTTGCGGCCACGTTTCTTGCGCTGGAACAAACTCTGTGGTCGCCAACCCGAGAGGACATATAGGAGAAATTACCACAGATGGAGCCAATGGGAGGACTGAGGGGGCTGAACTGCTCCTACCCAAAACGTTCAACGGGGCTGGACAACACGAGAGTACACACTGCTGGATGTGACTGTGTGTGTGTGTGTGTGTGTGTGTGTGTGTGTGTGTGTGTGTGTGTGTGTGGAGCTTGGAGATTTATCAAAATACAGAAGGCTGTGGAGAGAGCTGTCAGCCCTGCATGTGATCAAGTCACTGTACTGCTTTGTACTGCATTTAGAAAAGATATTTTAAAAGCCACCAAATAGGCTATAAATGCGCGTATATTCATGCAATTAGGGTACAGGTGCTGACTGCATCGTTAATACAGCTCAATTAAAGGCTGTGACTGCCAGAGAGCCCACAGCAAAGTGCGCATGCTGTGCGCCTAATTAGCGCACATTAACTCCCAGTTAAATTCTAAATAACTCCCATCAGCTCAAGCAGTCAGCTCACTGGCTGGACTGTTTGTTGCGAGAGAAAAAGAAAGAAAAACTTTAATAGAGGCAGTTCAGCAGGATTTGTGTGAGATCAGCAAACACAACAGCATTAACCCGGTTAATTCATGTCGGTTTTAAAGAAGAAAAAAAGTTGGCCACTCAAGGCCGGCTCTAGCATTTTTGGAGGCCTAGTCACCAATTCATCACCCATGCCTCTCATGTACACTGATTACCTCACTTACCTAACTGGAATATATTATTATCCCCCTTCTTTCTCACACACAATATCCATCCATCCATCCATCCATCCATCCATTTATCCAGGCGTGGGGGCAGCAGGCCAAGCAAAGCACCCCAGACCTCCCTCTCCCAGCAACGCTTTTTCAGCTCCTCCTGAGGGACCCCAAGGTGTTCCCAGGCCAGATGAGATATGTAATCCCTCCAACGTGCCCGGAACACATTCAACGGCAGGTGCCCAGATGCCCAGACCACCTGAACAGACCCCTTTCAATGCAAAGGAGCAGTGGCTCTACTCTAAGCTCCCTCCAGATGTTCACCTCACTCTTTCTCTAAGGCTGAGCCTAGCCACCCCATGGATGCAGCTCATTTCGGCCACTTGTATCCATTATCTCATTCTTGCGGTAACTACCCAGAGCTCATGACCATAGGTGAGGGTTGGGACGTAGATGGACCAGTAGACCGAAAGCTTTGCCTTCTGGCTCAGCTCCCTTTTCACCACGACTGTCCGGCACTGCTAAGATATAGGCCTACTGTATATTTTTAAGAAGTTTTCTCACACCCCTGCATACAGCATTGGCGACTCTAGTGGGGTCAGGACCCCTGAGTTGGGAACCAGTGCTTAAGTTTTGAACACACATTCTATTTATTACTTACCTTTATTACTTAAAAATATATCATATCATAAGTATCATATTTCTTAAACACATCTTAAACAACAGTAAAAGTAACCAGCACTCAAAAGTACTGCACAAAAGAAAATATTTAAAAATGATACAGTTTTACAAATCAATAATCAGATCAACCAATAATGTGTTAAGGGCCCTACAGATTAATTAAAATTTTACAAATATTGCACGCATATTGCACAATATTGTTCTCCTCAGAATGTGATGATGTGGCTACTGAAGTATCTGAAGCAACAACGATCCCTATCCAGGATGGTCCCATACAGCGGGGTAAGACTCTGAAGAGGTATATGGATGCTTATACGAACTTACTCAATCATTTGTAACATTCTAACCTGCAAAGTGGCTGTCAAACAATTGTTGAGTCAAAGAGATGCTCTGTGTGAAGTCATCACCACTTACTCATTGTACAGTCAACTGATAAAAAATCTTAAAAAATAGCTCTCAAAAACTGAAGCAGTATATGGTATATGAAACACTAGCATTGAAAGCAAGCATCTCATTTTACTCTGCTGACCTCAACATGTTAGTATTACTGGCTGCTGAATGCCAGGAAAATGTGCACTCCCCCCAGTGGACAAAATGTACCAAGATGACCCTACATACTTGCACAAATTAATGTTTCAGGAATCCATAATTTGCACTAACGCTTATATGGTCCCTGAAGTCGGCCCTATGAGTCCAGATTTTTCATTTGCTATTAAAGAGGACACCCCTGGGGTTATTTATTTTCAGAAATTCATAGGACACACTGGACACATAAAAATCATAAATCTGTAACATGAGCCCCCTGATGTGCATCTTTGCCTATTTTTGTAACATCTAGGTCTTACTCTTTATACAGGCAGATGATACAGACAACTTTTCCCACCAAATACATCAAGGGCATGGATAAGAGTGTCCCCCCTACTGTGTACATAACGACACTGGAGCAGCTACACATTCCTTCTTATGGGATGCAGATTATGAGTGTCCCTGTGTAAGTCAAAGCTTGGAATGAATTCAAGGCTCACAGCAGTACAGTAAATCCTAAACTAATTGTGGAGATCTACGGTAAAGCTCTTGGGCTGCTGGGATGAGACCTGTTGTTGCTCAAAGTTATGTGTTTAATATCAACAGTAGTACTGTAAATGCTGAATTGCTCTTCATTAGTTACATTTAAACACAGGACAAAATGTCATTTCAGCAGACTGCTTGACTCTTTGGCCGAGAACTAGCTTGAGAAGTCTAGCATTAATTCATGCAAGGTAAGGGCAGCTGCCGAGAAAATTTTCCTTTCATATAAAGTTTTATTCTATAGCCAACACTGGATCCTCTAAACCAGAGGTTTTCAAACTTTGTTGTGTCAAGGATCCCTAAAATTGATTCACATTAGGTCACAGACCCACATATGATAAGGTTTTGCTTCAGGGACCTCCATCTAAAATTTGTTTGGTTGTTAGATATTATTCAGACCAGATTATATTGTCAACTACAGTGGAGGAGATAACTGGGTAGGAGGAGGTTCAGAAGTAGAGGTCCTCTCTTTGAACACAAAGGTTTATTTCCAAAACTCAAACTGCAGTTAAACAAAGGAGGGAGCAAACTCACGTGGGTTTAAATCTGAAAGAAACAAATACAAAATTAGAACTTCAGTCAAATTAGAAAAACGTTCATCTTCATAAAGGGAAAATAACACTCAAAGTTGAGCAAGTGAAGTCAGTCAGGTTAATGAGTGAACAAAGAGTGAAAGGAACCAGCTGATGAAAGGGGAGGAAAGGAAGTGAGGTAAGTGAGGAAAAGTAGTGTCAAAATAAAGAAAAATAGAAATCTTTACTACAAGAATAATCACTCTCATGTCTTTTACTCACACTGGGCTTAATTAGATAGTGGAAATAAACTATCCCTCACTGTCAGGGGACCCACTGCATTTCTCTCAAGGACCCCTGGTTGAGAGCCACTGCTCTAAGTAGCAGAGCAGCTCCGCCGAAGATGATTACCAAGTATGAAACCCCACCAGTTAACTAATTTCATTGTCCAAAATGTCGCAAAGTCAAAACAAGCTCTGAAACACTAGGAGAAAGACTAAGAGACAGAAGTGCCTGTAAAATAATCTGCTGTGCACTGCTAACCAAATCCCTACAATTTCCACAAAGCTGCAAAGCATTTTTACTTATCATGTTGTAACAAAACAAAATAGAAATTAGATACTTGGATGCTTGAAGCTTATAGTGCAGTGTCAACAGTGGCACCTCCACTGCATTCTTTTGTGAATGGCACAGCAGTGAATGTCTTCAGTATGCAGTGCCAAAACTCGTGGCCTTTTGTGACAACATGCTGAGAGCACAAAGTGGTGAGATGAATCTACTGTGCCTGCGGTTGTGTGGCAACTCTGTTCTCCTCTACACTTGCTAATCCCATAGGGTCTTTGATTTTCAGTGTGAACACCTGTTTACAACCACCTGTGCAACAGTCACATACAAGGAGATCTGCAGGGACAGATGGAGTCTGACCCGTAACTACCAGTTGGTGTCACTGTGCACCAACTGCTCAGTTTTCCACGACACCATGTCCTTATCTGCTTTCGTTGTATCCAGGAGTGTCTCACCTACAGTATCTTTGTGACTTTGGCTGAGAGTTGTTAAAATTATGATGGAAACGTCATCCTTAAATGTTTAGTAGAAAGCAAATCCTTCATGGAAAAGTAACATCTACTCAAGTTGTGTGTACTTGACTTGACTTGTACTTGACAAAGCTTTTTCTGAAAAATACACACAACCACTACAATCTCTAATATCTACTGTACAGTTGCTAAGTAATTCGACATACATCTGTCAAACTGCTGAGGATTGCATGAGCCAACAAAAAAAAAAAAAAATAATTTCCGCACATCAGAAGTCAGATATTTAATGTTTTGCCAACATCCTTATCTACACCTTCTCACCTATCCTTTAATGTACTCTCCCTGTCTGTTAGTGCAAACATACTGAACATAACCCAATCTATATTCATAAAGAACTTAAAAAGTTACCAGAGCTCTCAGACTGTTTGATCTGATCTGTTATTTTCCTCCTGAACATTATAGGTCAGTGGTGTGCAACCTTTAGTATCAAAAGAGCCATTTTTGGACAAAACAAAAAGAAAAAAAATGCCTAGAGCTACAAAAACATAACTGATCCTTATGCTCTGGAGCTGCAGGTTGCCTACCCCTGGTATAGGTGTTCCTATGGCCATAAATGTGAAGGAATATTCAAATCAAATTAGTTTAGCCAACTTAATATACTTTCTCCTTTGCCAAATAAAAAAAATTGCATTCAAATCTTTAACTTCTTTTTATTGACATTTCTTACTTTGAACTTTTAATTACCCTTGTCACCTCTGAGACTCACCCTGGCCTAGTCTCTAATGAAACTTGATGTCAATGAATTTGTGGAGGTGGGGAGTACGAGGAAGACTGCATTACATTTCTGGAATGGCATGTGTTGCAGATCACATTAGGCCCTTTGGCACAAGCCACAGGCCAGTTGTTGAAAGAAATGCCTGTCATAAGGAAGGAGAAGCTCACAAAGATGCAGAGAGAGGAATGGGAGGGAGGGAGCATGCGTGTGTGTGTCTGTATCAGCGGATCAGAGGAGAGTGAAAGCAACACAGATTAACTACGAAAGGAAAGCCAGACTTGTTTTTCCTGTTTCTGCATATCTCGAGAAGGTGGGACGTCCTCATGTAAACAGCTAAGCTCAGTGCTCAAACAGCTCAGCACCAGGACTGGTCTCTGTGCCTTTTTTTTAAAGACTCAAACCACAATAAAAGGTAAAGTGATGTATTCTATGTTTTAACTTTTTGTAAACAGTGTGTGTGTATTTGTGTGATTGGGAGGGTTAGAGAGACAGGTGCACCTGTCGTAGGAAGGACAGTTTGTGTCAGTAATATGTTGCTTAGGAGATGCTTGATGCAGCTTCACTTCATCTTGATACATTTGAGTATTTCGTGATTTCTAACTGCAAGAAAGGCTTTGTCTGTGCAATATGCATTTTATGACAATAGTTCATGCAGTAGCCACTGCTGCATCAATGTGTTGGAAGAGGAGGAAATTATATGTTAAACTAAAAAAAGAACTAAGCTGCAATGTGATTGCACAGCACAAAGTTTTATACTCAGCTGCTAGCGTTTCTTTTTTTTTTAATTGTGTTTTAGAGGTTGTGTCATCTGCATACCATGCACCTGATGACAGTGGTTTTTCCTGTCGTGTGCATCCGTCACTGTCACTGCATGCAACCGTAAGAGTCTGGTGGATACTTGGCATTCTTACAATCATCTTGGGGAATGCTGCAATATTGAACTCTCATTTATCATTTTTTGACAATGTCCAGATTAGGTCAAGATGAGTTTGTTTTGCTCAAAATTTATCAAAAACTTTCACATTACATATGTAGACTAGTCTAGTTAGAAAAGTAAAAACATATATATGATCATTTAAGTTGCAGGGTGACTCACATTAAAGGTCCAGTGTGCAAGACTGACGGGGATTTAGTGGCACATAGCAATGAGAATTGCACAGTATAAACAGCGGAAACTTCTCCCGGTTAGAATTCCTTCAGTGTTCATTGTTCAGGAGGTTTTAACCGGGAGCTGAATTATCTGCAGAGGTCTCTTCTTTCCAAAACAAATGTACAGGTGATTTAAACCGGGGAAAAAATTTAATAAAGCAGTATTACATTGCACATTTTGGACACTGTTTGTCGCAGACGGGCCTCCAACTACGGTGGCTGATGTGAAAATGCCAAAAACGCAAATGGCCCTTTCTAGAGCCAGTCTTTTGTTTATCTGTTCTGAGCTACTGTAAAAACATGGCGGACTCCATGGACAAGGACCTTCTCCCTATGTAGATATAAACAGCTCATTTTCAGGTAACAAAAACACAATGATTCTTATTTTCAGGTGATTATACACAAATGGAAATTTACTTATTGTATTATGTTCCATTCCTGCAATATATCCCCCTAAATCCTACACACTGGACCTTTAAGTAATAGATAGATAGCCTTTTATTGTCCCATGGGAAAATTTGTTTTCACAAACTGTCACAACAACATTTGGGTACAGAAAAACACCACCAACAAACACCATGCACAAACACCACCAAACACTGAACAACATATCAATACACACACAATACACAAACACCACCAGCCATGAACAACTGACACATGTATCACACTCAGTAATCATGAGACAATGTATAGATGGATATTACTTTTCCCAAGAAACAGGAAATGAGGTGTTGGAAACATAAATAACAGTAAACATGTACCTAGAAAAAAACTTACCTGACCATTATCCCTGTTGTCTGTATATGCCTAATTTTACTTTCACTGTCTGCATCCACACACAACAGATGTCTAAATCACCGCCTCCGGTGGTCCCCAGAAAGCATTCAGGTGTCAGAGTCATGATAATTCCAGGACAGCAGCCCGCTCCTGCTGGTCTGCCCACCTGCACAGGTTTTGACAAAGGTACTGCATATTCATTTGCCTAATGTGTATATATATATGCATGAACATGTGCTGCTGCCACAAAGATGTATTATCCTGCTGCTTGCAACCCACGTTACATATTATGTCCAAGTTTGCTTGAATGACTTTGTTCTTCCTCTTCCCAGAGAATGGTGCCAGTGGGGAGTCAAATCATACATCTCTACTGAATGCAGAGAGAGAAGTGGTATGTATCCACATGAATAATTTACAAGAAATCAATAACAATTTTTAATAAATAAAGGACATCAAAAGGTTTATATAAAATATGTCATGCATATGATGTTCATAATATAAAAAGAAATGTACAGGATGTTAGTTATTTTAGACTTTAAGTTGAAATATAAATGCAACACATTTGTTTTGGCTCCAATTAAAGATCTAATAATTTTTTTTCTACGTGCACACAAGGCTTAGTTCTCTCAAATTTTGTTCAAAAATTTGTTTAAATCCATGTTGGTAAGCACTTTGGCAACATATTACATAATCCATCCACCTGACAGGTGTGGCATATCAAGATGCTGATTAAACAGCATGATTACTCCATAGGTGTGCCTTGGACTGGTCATGATTAAGGCCACTCTAAAATACGCAGTTTTATCACACAGCACAATGTCGCCTTGGATGTCCTAAGTTTTGTCCACCAGAGCTATTGCTGTGGATTTAATGTTCATTTCACTGTCATAAGCTAAGACCTGACTGATACAACAGTTTACACATACAATAATTTCTGTACAAATGGTAAGAAGCAGCGTCTCAGGGACGCTCATCTCAGTGGCTGGTCTCAGACCATCTTGCAGGCAAAGAAGCTGGATGGGGAGGTCCTGGGCTGCCTCACACTATAGATGTACTGCCAAATTCAGGGAAATGACACTGGAACGAGAGCCTATTGAAGAGAGTTGTCACCACATACTGTTTAAAGTAATGGACGTAGCCACCGTGACATCACCAACTGGTTTGTGGACTCCCATTTTGAAGCCTGTTTGGAATGTTGGCCATTGTCATCTTGTTTTTTGGAGCCAGGAGTGACCATATTTGCACAAGAGGTTGGAGTTCTTCTCCTCTCGGTCTTCACTGCTCCTCTTCTGGAATCAGCCTCAAGTGGTCATTCAAGGATCCTGAAGGTTGCCACTTGGTTATCACAGATATGAAGGACAGCATTTAATTCAGTCCTAAGTTTAAAACATTGATGACATTCAAGGCTATAGTTTGTGGTGATGCTGTTGTGTTTGATTGCATTTGATAAGAGATTCCTATGGCTGTTGGTGTTCCACTAGGTGGACCCAATAAAAGAAACACTGTAGAGGATTGCACATAAATCAACGCCTCTTTCATACACTCTTAAATACTTGGCAGTATAAGTATTACAAATATATCTTTCGCAGGGCTGTTGTATTGGATGGGGTACATGTGTGTTTGGATACCTTACATTGAATGCAGAAAAATACGTCAGCTTTTTAGTTGTGCCTTTTTGTATGCTGTTTGACTCACTAAGAACTTATCAAATCACCTGTGATATGAACTGTTAAACCATTAAAACACTTTCTATAAGTCACTCTGACTAAAACATACAGTATCTTTCTTCAGGAGATTATGAATCACTGCTTTGACGATGTGGAGCGATTCATGGCACGCTTGCAGCAGACAGCTGAGGCCCAGACTATTCTCAACCAAAGGAGGAAAAAGAGAAGCAGAAAGAGCAAGAAGAAGGAGGATCATGATGGTGAGAGTTGTCCAATCAAAGAAGTCAAAATCAAAGAAAGCTGTTTGTATGTAGACACTCCAGCCTCACAGAGTTTTCAGAATGAGACCCAAATAACAACATGTACAGTAGTCTGATGATATATTTGAGGTAGGTTTGGAGTTCGAAGAAGTGTAGATCAGTTGGTGGCAGAGGACGAAAGATAAAGTTGAAGGTACTTGATGACTGCAGGAAATTTATGAATGCTGGCCTCAGGTACGGCTGCAGAATAAGAATGGAGGCAGGAAACTGGAGACAAAGGCTTAACATTGGCACACCATTTTACACGCTGGAAGCAGGTCAACAGGCAGGGTGCCAAAGGCAAGAATGACAAAGACAATACTGAACCTGGGCCAAATCAGTCTATAGAGACAACAACATCTTTAAATTTTTTAATTGATTTCCAGTCAGCTTAATTCATCTTTTTTTGTGTTGGGTTGGCAAAGCATCTGGCATTAAAGGGACAGTTCACCCCAAAATCAAAAATACATATTTTCCCTTTTACCTGCAGTGCTATTTGTCAGTCTAGATTGTTTGGTGTGAGTTGCCAAGTGTCGGAGATAACAGCCGTAGAGATGTCTGCCTTTTCTCAAGTATAATGTAACTACATGGTACTCAGCTTGTCATGCTCAAAGTGCCAAAAACATCAATGTCTCTGTCCAGACATCATGACCCGGTCACTCAAGATAATCGAGAGACCCTTTTTTGTGCAGTTTAATGTACTATTTTTCACCCACACACCTGGTGGACATATTCGCCAACCATATCACCGTGCAGAAGGAAGCATGCATCTACTCTTAGCTCACCTAGCATCACTGAGTTAGCTAATGTCACAGCTCAGCCAAAGAGGACGGCATTAATGTTTACATCTTGCGCTATCACAAGCACAGGCATCTCATTCATGAGTAGATACACGATTCCTTCTGTGCAGTGATGTAAGAGGTAGGTGCAGTTGAGCACAAGCTGAGTGCCACCTAGTTCCATTACAGCAGAGAGAAGGCAGACATCTCTACTGCTGATATCTCCAACCTTTGGCAAATCACACTAAAACAGTCTAGATTGAATAATGGCACTATAGGTAAGAGGACAAATATGCATTTTTGATTTGGGGTTGAACTGTCTCTTTAAATTGCCATTATCCAGTGGAATGAAAATCAATAATCAGTTTTCATTCTGAGAATACATGACCACATTTTTAGGGGTTTGGTTTGGTTTCACTCTTGATTAGATACTATAGATTGCCATTAGGTGTGGATGGAAGCTTAAGCACCTATCAATCTTTGCCTTTTGTAATCGCAGCATGACCAGGGTATTTCCCAGGTTTCTGGCTAGTGTATGCTTGGTTAGGTGTGACTCTAGATAAGACTGAATGTAATAAATGTATGAATGCATTAATAATGAAATAACCACCAACTTTGTTTTGTGGGTGTACTTGTTGGAACAAGCCAGAACAAGCATTCCACACCTTTACTTACACTTCATTATACTGTTGTGTTTCTGTTTTTCTCCTATTATTTCAATTTTCTGTTTTTTTTTTCATTTTGTTAAAAGCATACTATAACTTGCATTTGACAGCTTGCAGCTTAAATGATACTGATATCAATATCAAATTTGAAAAATCAATGCATGAACATAATAACAACAGTAACTGTGACACAGTTATGTGTCTGTTTCATGTCTATCCTGTTAAGTTGTAGCTGTCATTGTGCTCTTCTCTGCAGATGATTTGTTGACCCTGAAAGCTCTCCCTCCATCTGAGGAAGAATTTGTAGACATCTTTCAAAAAATCAAGTACTCCCTCAGTCTGCTGGTGAGATGTCATAATCAAGCAATGAGTAACTTCACAAATTTACACGTAAATTTAGATAAAACCACTGACTCCATTTGCTGGTTTATTTAGGATCGTCTCAAGTCATCCATCAAACAGCCTGACGCACCAGAGCTGCTGCATTCCATCTTTGTACCTCTTAGACTGGTGAGTCTTTCTTAAGTTTCATTAAGAGGTTTCTCCTTCTCTATGATACTGACTGACTGACGCTCTCTTACACAGATGGTGAAGACCACTGGAGGGCCAGCGTTAGGAGCGTCGGTGCTCAGTCCTGCTATGACCAGTGGTGCTGTTTCACTGCTTCAGGAGCATCTGACCAAAGATGAAAAGGAGCTCTGGACTTCATTAGGGCCCAACTGGATTTCACCCTGGTCTGTTGGCTTATGTATGTGTGTGTGTATAAATTGGTTTGAGAGTGTGTCATGTTGCTTTAACAAGAATCTCTTGCTTTCTTTCTCAGTTCGCAACTCAGTGTGTCTGTCCCTCCATACTCACCTGTCTTCCTGGATGGGTGGCAGCCTCAGGCTTATGACTCAACTGGCCAGCTTTGCGAAGATCCGATCCAGTCGCAGCACAAACAAGATGCTCTCATAGAAAGTAGGGGGGCGCGAAATCTACAGGCACAAGCTCGACAGATAGCACAAAGCCCGGGTGAAGGCACTGATGAAGTGTAAGTCTGTAGACATTAAAAAAAGGGTTACAGAACAAGGTGCAATTATGTTTTTATAGCAGGAGTTACAATGCCAGCTAAGTTCCTAAATTAACAGTATAACAGTACTGCCTCATAAAATCAGTCTGGAGGTTATAAAGTCTGAGAATAACTCATGTCAATGGGCCTCATGCAGCAACATTCTCATAAACTTCTTCTGTTAAAAGAAAAAATAATAAGAGAGTCAACTCCAGATGCACCAAACATTCTTAATTATCCAAATGTGCTTTTAGGTGTGCTGATCCCATCTGACCTGTCAGCATGGGTAACACTGTCTAAATACTTTATATGACGGACGTACTGTGTGTAAAAACTCTGGCACATGCCCAAGAATTGTAGAGGTGCCAACAAAAAAGGCGGTAAGAGGGAGACCTCGTGCATAATTGACATACTGTTTAATAAACTAAAACAAAGTAAAACAGATTTCCAGAATGTCAGGTATTACAAGACAATCAAAAAGCCAATAGTGACAAAACATTTGTGATGCTGTGTCAGTAGAGATGCAGAGTAACGACAATTAATAGAAAATTGTTTGACACAAAAATAGAAGCAAAATTCAACAATCAAATCATTATAATAAATATAAGACATATAATAATCTGAATTTGAGTACATGATATTCATACCTTTTTTTTATGTTACTCAAATTTAAAACTCGTGTTTCCTTTCAATCAGTCAATTTGTTGACTATGAAAATGGGATGTTTTTTAGAGCGCTCTTGACCACATGTAAAATTTTCTTTCATCTAAGAAAAGAGCAAAAATGAGAAACCATTGGTGAATCCCAGAAATCAATGGCTGATAACAAAATACAGAACAAACTGTGGAAATGAACAAAAATATCATATATTACTTCCTGCATGAAATCCAGTGTCATCAGAGATTAAAATTACTGATATCTGACTCCACTTTGTTAAATCGGTTTAATTTTTTCCTCATGTTTTATATCTTTTAAATTACATTTCAGAGAAGGAAATGGGCTTCCACCAGAGGGTGAGAGACTTTTCTGCTGCAGTTACGACTTTGTGGCCAGAAACAGCAGTGAGCTCTCTGTGCTACAAGGAGAAACATTAGAGGTACACATCCATAAATAGAATTACTGGGTAGTGGTGACCCACCCGCCAATGTAGATGTATTCCTGGAATGTATCACAAAACTCCACTGATCTTTCTTTAGGTCATCGAGTCGTCGAAGCGGTGGTGGAAGTGTCGGAATCGCTTTGACCAGATAGGATTTGTCCCCTTTAATATCCTGGAGCCTCTGTCTGCGTTGAATAACACTGGGGGAAGCAGCCCCGTGGTACTTAGAGATTCAAAGGTACAAATACACACACAACATACAGAGATTTGCTGTTTTTTGTTTCAGTACCTCAAATATTACACACACAGCGGCTTTTTGACTCATCTCATCTTGCAATTTAATTATCTATTCCTGCTTTTCCACAACATTCCCATGGAATTGTTGCTTTTCCACAGCAGACGCCCCTTTCCCCTCGGACAAAGTACTTCTCATATGCTCCTCCAAGCCCAGTTAGGACTAGTCCTGCTGCTACAAGTCCGATGCGACCACAGAGCATGATTTTACCATCGCAAATGATGCAAGGAGAAGACAGTGACCCAGGTAACATGCCCATACATGTTTGATATCGGCAATGGTAAATCGTGTGATATCAAGTTCACAAACATATTGGATCCCAGAAGCTTCTTATGTTCAACTTCTTGGAACATTTCAGCATCTTACAGCACTAGCAGTCAGTACTGATCTCATCTGTCACTCAAAGGTTCAGTGTAAGATTTAGGGAGATTTGGTGGCACCTACTAGTGAGGATTGCAGGTTGCAACATGCTGAAATTTATCCCAGCTAGAATTCCGTTGTTGTTAATGGTTTAGGAGGTTTTTACTGGGAGCCAAATCATCTGTGGAGATCACTCTTCCTCTTTAAAACGAAAAGACCCTGTGATATAAACAGTAAAGAAAACATCACCTAATAAAGCAGTTTCATGTTACAAATCAGTGTTTTTCAAACATTGCTTGCTGCAGAAGGGCTGTTAACTACAGTGGCCGATACAAAAATGTGAATGGCCCTATCTGGAGCCAGTGTTTGGTTTGTACTTTCTGGGTTATTGTAGAAACATGGCAGTAAACATGGCGATCTCCATGAAAAAGGACCTGTTCCTGTAGATATACACAACTCATTCTAAGGTAACAAACACAATGATTCTTATTTCCATGTGATTATACACTAAGGAAAATATACTTACTATATTTTATTTCACTTTTCCAATATTTCCCCCTAAATCCTACTCACTGGACCTTTAAGCGCACACAAGTCCTGCCTCCAGCAGACAGCTAGCATTTATTAAGATGCCCACCTCCAGTGTATTGTCGCATCCATGCTGAGTGCCGTGCTTCCACTGCCAAGTTCCCTGTATGCTGTAGCTCCATGATGCATCATGCCACATGGAAACTGATGTCTTTGACACAATAATCTTTTGGTTAAAACTGTCCAGTAAATTGCATCAGCTCTTTTGTTGTTACTAGGTGCACTTTACAGCAGGTGCAGCCTTTAAAATCTCAGTCCTACAAAACACCGAGATGATGTTGACAGTAAGTACAGACATAGCTATCCATAAACAGACCTCTGTCTATGTGTGTCTAAAAGTCGTTAGAAATTTTGTCAGTACCATCTATGAACATTTATCATATCAAATAACCCTAGAGGTTGAGCACCAACTTACAAATTAAGTTTTGTGTGTTTTGCATTTGCAGTCCTGATAATAAATGATGAGCTCCTTCAGCGGCTAGCTGGGAGAAGAGACTCAGCCCGTCCGCAGGTGGTCCCCCGCACAGCTGACACTTCTACTCCCCTGAACTACCACTCACCAGCTGTCGAGGTGGAGGCCTGGCTCAACACCAAGGGCTTCAGCCAACAGTGAGTGAGCATTTTTAGAGAGAACTCCAGCACAAAGCTAGTTTGTAGTACCTATTAGTTTATTTGAAGCTACAGCTTGTTCTCAAGATCCACGAGGAATATCAAGTGATATTAAAGGAATATCATGTCCAACATGTTTAATACCGTTTATATGCATTATACATGCAGCTTGCAAAGGCACACTCCCAGATTTTTAGTGCACAATAGCGCCCCCAAATGTTAAACTGTCCTCCCTGACAATGTTTATGTTTTGAAACTTAACTGTGGACTGAGGGGAGCTGGAGTTGAACATAAACAGTAAGCTACAATGACATTTAGAGGAATTATTACAACAGGAAAATAAAGAAGTGAATAATAAAAGAAGGTAAGCCTAGATTTTGTTTTACAGTTCAAACACCTGGATTCTTATATCCAGGTTATAGGTGAACTAATGACAATGAAAACTCTCTGAAGACTGATTCTGTTGCTCCTTCCTCCTCTGTTAGGACAGTACAGAGTCTGGGAATTTTAAATGGAGCGCAGCTTTTTTCCCTGGATAAAGGTGAACTCTGCACCGTGTCACCGGAAGAAGGCCAGAGAGTCTACAGCCAAATTATGGTGCAGAAGGCCCTTCTTGAGGTTAGTCCAGTGTTATTTTTCAGATTCAGAATTTATTGATCCCCAGGGAAACAGGGAGAAACTGTTTCATGTTACAGTTGCTCCTTTACTGTATATAGGTATAAAGAAATACTAAGAAAATAGAAATGAAAAAAAGAACATATATGTAACACAGTGAGTACATATAAATATCAAATATAAGAAAATATACAAATATGAGAAGGGATATGTTGTTCAAGAAATATAAGAAATGTGTACAAATGTGTGCACCATACTACAAGTGTGCTCAATTTAATGAGTAGAATTGGAAAGAATTACATAAGAGAGAGTTGTACAATATTGTGCAGTTTTCTGGCTGTACCGTATGTTCTTGTGTGTTTGTGTGTGTCTGTGTGTTCTGAGCTAGTTGTTTGCTCAGCCTTGACTTATGAACAGACGTACTGTAGCCTACGTTGTTTAACACAATGTCACTGACCTACATTGACTAAAGATTATTTACCTTTCAATTTACAAAACACGAAATGCACATCAGGTCCAACAGACCTCAAAGGTCAGAGCTAGAGAGCCTTCTTGTGCTTGGTCTGGTACTAAAAGAAATTAATAATGGGTGTCTTCAGCAGTGTGTTTTAATTTGACCTTCACTGTGCAGACATTGGATTTTAATGTGATCAAATAGGAGTTAAATTTAAGCATATTTTCCAATGACAGTTTTTAAATGAATGGACTAAAACAGTTGGGAAGCTTCTTTCAAAGTTTGCCCCCCCAGAAAAACCAAATTTTCCTTGATATTTCCCTGCTAAATTACATTTTCTTGTGTCCTCCTCAGGATGTGCGCAAAGCAACAGAACTAGAGACGGCAATGGAGAAACAAAAGCTGAAGATCGACATGAACTTGGAGAGTGATATAGTGTGACGGACATCCACTAACAGACATGGCAACAAAGATCAATGGAGATCAATGTGGTTAAGCATATACAGTGATGCTGCAGCTGAATTGTATTCTTTTAATCGTACATGCTGTATATCTACATGCTACAAATTCATCAACAAAAGTAAGCTGCGTTAAAAGTAAAGCTCACTCACTAACAGTCTGATTGATGATGGGACTATTTTGGATTTTTACATGTATTTAAGAAAGAGGGGCTTTAAAACTTCAACTTCTTGCCAGAGTTTTACTTCAAGGTTCTGTATACATTGTTCAGAGCATTAATATAGCAGAGAACCAATATTTGGAGTAATGGCATCCTGAGCAGAGAATGAAGTCAGACTACCTCTGTGTGTGTTGTTATCCGAGCCTCTTTGTTTGCTGCTTTGGTAGCCGGTCCTGTCATATGTACATTTATTGCATTTAACGCCTCGTTCCCGCATAGCTCTGTGTACATTAGCATGTCAGCTGAAAGTCCATTCATTCCTGTGAGAACCTCTGTGATCGCCAATGGGTTTGCTAAACCTTTGGACTGAATGCACTGTTCTACAGGAAATTTGCATAAAAATTAATTAGCTGACAGATTGATGAATGATTGATGATACATTCTTCCTTAGTAAAAAGTTTGACGGCAAGTTTGGAGTCTATCCCAGCTGACATTGGGCGAGAGGCACATTCACACCTACGGACAATTTAGAGTCACCAATTAACCTATCCCCAACCTGTATGACTTTGGACTGTGGGAGGAAGCCGGAGTACCCCGAGAAAACCCACGCTGACATGGGGAGAACATGCAAACTCAGCACAGAAGGGCACCCATACCCGGGATCAAGCCAGGAACCCTCTTGCTGTGAGGCAACAGTGCTAACCCCCACACCATGGTGCCGCCCCTATGTTGAGAACCGTGTGCAGACAATCTGTATCAGACTGTGAATCATAGATATGCTCTGAATATTGTATACAGCTCCTTCAAGCTATTCTGACCGTTTGGTGTTCATAGTATGTTTTACAATTTAAATATTTCTGTCATAAGTTGTTCAGGCAATATCTAAAAATACTGTGCAATAAACCAAATCACATGCTGATGATTAGTTTGATGTGCTAACAACAATGGACTGAAATGTCTTTTTAGTGGTATATAAAAAAAGGTACATTCTATCAAGAATATCGATGACTCTACAGATGTTTAATTGATTGAGTTTTTATTGCTTGCACATCAATCTGTGTTAATACAGTGTCACTTGTTGCAGCCAGATGCTCTTTTGGACCAAATATACATTCAACTGATACATGATGAATACACAGTTTCAGTCCTGACTCATTCTATGATTTTCTATGGAGACTAAAATGATTTCTGATTCTGTGTTTTTGAGACTTCGGCTGTGGAGCGTATCATGACATAATGCTCAACAACACAGCAACAAAGGGGATACATTGTTGTTAATACAGTGGCTTGAATAAAATTTAAGTTAAGTGTATTTTTGTGTCATTTGTATGAGTTTACCGCAACCCTTTTTTCCTTATTATGAGATCGACAAGTTATAAGATCAAAACATACCATTTTTCATAAGATTAAAGAATCTAGATTAGTAATTTAATTATACATAATGAGTGCAACACAAGACTGAAGTCATTTTTTTTAGTGACACTCAAATGTCGACATACATAAAATCCACATCATTCAATGCTCAATCAAAACAGGCGGAGATAAATCACCATTATATTGCTGAAGCACATTTATACACTAATAGCACTAACACATTTTACATAATATTAAACTACGATCGGCTAGTCCAATTTCAGACAATCCCTGACAAAATTGTGCGCTTGAAACCATTCACCCTCTTATTTAATTTCTTTCTTCTTTTAAACAGAGGTAGGCATATCATTTAACAATTTTGGTTCCAAAAATTTACAAGATTACAGTTTTAAAGTAGGATAATTACACTAGTAGTTGAGGACATACTGCACTTGTCAGTAGACGCCTCTAAAAACGTTTTTTAGTGCACTTCATAGACTGCTCCCAAAACAACACTTATGTATAATATTTATTGTATTAATTATTATTACCTCACATTAAGGAAAAATTTGTGATATTTTTATTATCAATCTATTAGCCTGCTGGAGCTGTGCATGATTATCAAACAGTAGAAAGTCAACTCCTACAAATTACAAATTAGATCTTACTTTTTCTTTATTGCTTGGTAATACTTCAATTTTTGACATAAAGTAACTTGTAACTTTACAGCACTTTAGACTATCCAGACCAATAGCTATCCAGATTTATTGTTGACGTTTGACCTACTTTGCACCACATACAATACACTTCAGCTGTAAATCAGGTGCTGAGCCACTGACAATATCTGCTTCTGTCAGTCAGGTTTAATTAAGGGAATACTACACCCACAAAATGATCATAATATTTTAGCCCATTTCCATGAATTTATTTAGGTAGTTTAAAATGTGTAGCCTGATATAGCCATTCATTATTACACATGCATTTCCAGGTATATGTGGATAAGAAAACTGCTAGCTCTTGCTAACTTTACTCGCTCGTTACATATTCCCGCTGCCAACTAGCTGCACATGACTGGCACATACGGGTACTTAACAAAACGTCAAGGCCCTGCCCATTTTTGGGGGGATAGAAAACCAAAGATCCTGTATATGTCAGTGTGATTTGAGATATGTTTGGATTATAATTCTAAGTGTTTGAGATAGCTCAATAAATCAAGGTTGACTGTTGTCATGTCCTGTCAGTCTTCCCCCAATCAAGCAGATAGGTGACCAAAAAGGGGCACTCTCTTGGCAATAATGTGATGATGCAATGCCAGTCTGGTCTATGTATGTCACATGATACTTGAGACATTTCAATGGTCACGCAAGACGGCACTAGATTTTAAATTAGTCATACTAGGAACATATTTCATGTGATGTTAGATTTTTTTTTTTATGAACAGACTTTAAACAGCCCAAACAATGTATATTATTTTTTTCTAATCCATTTCCAGGCCTGGAAAACAGTTTTTCTAATCTCATTACTTTTCCAGGAATTTAATGACTGTGGGAAGCCTGAATTACTCACCCTGTGTTCCCTGGAATTCATAATGATTTTTTTTTTTTTTCTCACATGGCTCCATGGTGAACAAAGAATCTAAAACTGAGAAGTACTGAGCATGCGACTGGATAAATGTGACTTGGATTATACTGTACGAGTTGTGTGAGAGTTTGACCACAGATGTTTTGACATAGTTTTGATACACAAACCCATTTTATCTCAATCCAAGAACTCTCTGTTATTTGGATTCTTTGTTAACCGTGGAGGCATGTGAGAAAAGCTAAGTTTTCTTCACGAATTTAGTCTCTCACATGAAAAGGGAAGTAACTGATATCTAAATGATCATTTTGTAGGTGAAGAATTCCTTTAAGTTAATCCACTATGGCTCCAAACTGCAGCTCAGTGTTTTGCACATATTCACAATACTATATTTATCTGTTGCAGGGTCCAGAATGACAAATGATTACTACACACATCTCACCCTGAGTCACAACTGCTCCTATTATTGCTCTTAAATTAAAGATGTAACAGCTATATTTGTATGTGCATTGCTGCTAATGTAGCTTGATTAAAAAAAAAAAAGTCAGTCACATTTGTTTCAACAAAAATCTTTGTGACTCTAAGTGCACTTACACTGAGGTAAATTATTTGGTAGGAACACTGAATTTGACTCATCTGTTGCAATCACTGTGGTGTCATCACACTGTCACAAAGGACCTTTGAGCAGCAGGAGAAGAGGTAGTATTTCTGATTCTCACTGCGTCTGACTCTCAGCATCTTCACACCTCACAGGTGATGGTCTTGTCAATGCAGTCCCAGTTCAGGAGCTCCTTTTTCTGAAACCACAACCCAATCTCCCTCTGTGCCGTCTCCAGTGAATCACTTGCATGAACCACATTCCTTTAAATGACCAACACACATCATTATTTTACCTCCAAGACCTAAAAAGAATACATAATATCTGCATGGTGGCACATAATGGGATCAAATACCTGCTGACATGAAAGCTGAAATCTCCTCTGACTGTGCCTGCCTGGGCCTCAGCTGGGTTAGTATGTCCCACCATTGTACGGGTTGCCTGGACTACTTTGTGCCCTTCCCACACCTAAAACAAAAAATAAAACATCACACATAAACACAGAAAAACAACATATTCAGAATTTGCAGAGATTTAGAACATCTTAACACATGAAATACAGTGGTCTATTTGCTAGAGATCATAAAGCAATTAAAGCAAAAGTAGAGATAATTTAAAAAAAAAAAGGCAGAGCTACTGTAAAATACAAGAAAACCCCACAACGATTCAAAAACAGGAGCCCTCACCATGACAACCACAGGCCCTGAGGTCATGTACTCCACCAGCCTGGGATAGAAGGGCTTAGTCCTCAGATGAGTGTAGTGCTGAGACAGGAGATCCTCAGACACCTTCACAGCAGAGACGGTTAGAGATTAAACAGAAATACCTGTGCAGAACATCATGAATGACATTGATTTCAGACATCTGTACCTGCAGCATTTTCAGGCCAACCAGCTTGAAGCCCCGCTGCTCAAATCGCTGGATGACTTGTCCTATGAGACGACGCTGAACTCCATCTGGCTTTACAGCAATGAGAGTCCGCTCCCTTAGATCCGGAATAGCTGGTGGGACAGATAAAGCAGTAACACCTCAGTGTAAAAATATTCTGTTACAAGTAAAAGTCCTGCATTTAAAATCTTACTTAAGTAAAATTACATACGTATTGGTGGCAAAAGACACTTGAAGGAACAGTGTGAAAGATTTAGGGGGATTTAGTGGCAGCTAGCGGTGAGGAATGTATGTAATGATTTGAGGATGACCTGCTCTTCCTCCTGAGCTACAGCCTCCCTTACAGCTGGATACCGTAATCTAGGCCGAAACAATATATCATGATGTATTAATTAATTGTTCTTTCAATGTTTTTCAACAATCTACAAAGTAACTAAAGCTAAAAAA